AAAAAAAAACAATATTGAAAATATATCAGTATAAGAGTTAACAGAAAGAAAATATATCAATAAAGTCAAAACTATTAAACAATATACAAACTTAAGCTGTACCCATCTGTCTTTTTACTTAAAATACATTTAAACATAGTGTTTATACATTAAATTATTTCCTCAATAAATACTGCCTAGCCCCTCATACCATAGGCTAAGGGAATACAACCCTGAGCAAGGCAGACCTTGTCTTGCCCTCCAGTTTTAGAAGAGCAAACAGATTCCACGTGAGCGAGTGGAAGACATGAGGCTAGGCCAGCCCGAGAAGGGACAGCAGCAGAGAGGAGCTAGGGACGGACACACATTTATGAGACTAGCAAAATGTGAAAAGCAATTAAAACCTAGCAGTGGGGTCACTCGATCAAAGGACACACTTACACTTTGCCTCTATCTGCACAAAAACACAGATCAATTCAAGAAGTGGGGAGGGAGGTAAGTAAGCTCAGTGTGGGGGTATATGGCACCTATAGCTTCTAGGGCGAAGAACTTATCTACAACTCAGACTTTACCTTATAAATGAAAACAAAATAACCTAATTATATGTACCCTTATATTAATCCAATTTTTTTCAACAGGTGAAAAAAGATTATATAACCAAAAGATGTGTATCTCCATAATATTATGAAATACAAAAAGTTAAATTGCAATTACTACTTGGCCATAGTATTTTAGCCAATTTTTATCTCATTCTTTATTTTCCTCTAGCTTTTCAATGCTCTACACTGAAAAAACAAACAAACTTTTCTATAACTGGGCGAATTTTAAAAATTGCTAAGTTAGGGTGGCCCCTGTGGTCAGTGAGTAGGGCGCCGGCCCCATATACCAAGGGTGGCGGGTTCGAAAAGAAAAAAATAGCCGGGCATTGTGGCAGGCGCCTGTAGTCCCAGCTACTGGGGAGGCTGAAGCAAGAGAATCGCTTAAGCCCAGGAGCTGGAGGTTGTTGTGAGCTGTGACATCACAGCACTCTCCTGAGGGCAACAGAGTAACACTCTGTCTCTAAAAAAAAAAATAAATAAATAAAAAAAATTGCTTCAAGTTAAAAAATTTTTTAAACAGTTAAGCACTTTTAAGGTTCAGGTAGCCAAGTATAGTTAAAATAATGCTTTAATGCTTGGCTTTCTAGGGCAGAAAATAACATTCCTGAAGAACATGTATTTCATACAGGGTGACAGGTTCTGAGCTATCAATTTAGATCCAGAACTTGTTTTGGCTGACCTGACAAGAACGTTGATTGTGAGCCACATGTGAGGCCGTGCACGGAGGAGCCTGCTGCACCTGTCTCATCCCAGCACACCCCTGAGGGACGCTGTAGCCCCCTGGACGTCCAGGTTCCCGTGGCAGCGTGCGTCACGGGTCTCTCTGCCGTTGCTCAGGCTGCACCACTGGCCCAGTGCCTTTCCTCCCTGCCCCACCTCACATTCAAGGCTCACCACCTCGGTCCATTTCTTCCTTCTGAAAATCTGGATCATTCCTGTGCATTCCAGGGCATATGCCATTATCCCAACAAGACCCAGAATGTCTAGCTGACTGTTCTCGGATCTGTGTCCTTGTCAATGACTGTGACCTGTTTGTGATGGTTTCTTTTGTGTGTCAACTTGGCTGGGCTACAGTGCCCTGTCGTTTGCTCAGACATCTGGAGAACAGTCCAGACACTGTGGTGCACATAGGCTTTAGATACAATAGACATTGGCAGTCGGCTGACTTTACATAAAGCAGATGGCCCTCCATCGTGTGGGTGGGCTTTCTCCAATCAGTTGAAGACCTTAAGGGAACAAGCTGAGGACCTCTGAAGAAGAAGAAATTTGGCCACAGACTAAAAATTCTGCCTGAGTTTCTAGCCTTCTGAGCGAGACTGCAAGCAACATCAACCCTGACAGAATTCTGAGGCTGCAGCTTGCCCTGTGGATTTGGGGTTTGTCAGTCCTCAAAATTGCATCATCTGATTTCTGAAAATAAATCTGGATAGATAAAGAGACAGATGGGGAGGTGCATGATTCTCCTACGATTTCTGTTTCTGTGGAGAACCATGACTGACATGCCACTTTGCTCCCCATGCTTAGGGGCTGCACCCACAGTCTGGCAGAGCCTGGCCAGTGAGGTGCAGAGTAAGCAGGGTAGGGGGGGTGGGGTGGAGCAAGGGGGAAGGAAGAGACAGAATGGGGTTAGGTGGGGTGGGATGAAGAAACAGAACAAGGGCCTTCATGGCCACCACCCCGCCCACCTTGAGGACTCATCCTCATTCTTGTTTATGTGAGTGTTGTCACTGTAGAACTCCAGGAACTGCCATCCGTCAGATGACACTGTAAATGTCACACAGGAATTACACAACATGGTGGCCCTACTGGTGCCTAAGGATGAAGATGGTCTCCAAACAATTAAGTGAAAGCCAGGATCTGAAAAGACATGAGCCATTGGAATCAGAGACTTGGGTCCCGCTCTTGGCGAGTTCCTTAGTCTCCCGTCTGTTCCCTCATTGGTCTAGTGAAGGTGGGTCTCTTCTTCCTCTCACCTGATTGTTAGATGTGGGACACTGTACTGAAAAGGCCCTGGGAGCTGCCTGGCAGGTCCTTGGTGTCTGATTCGTGGCACTGTCATTCATGGAGCTGGAGAAGACTCAGAAAGGAACTGACTTGTGGGTGGGAGGAAGTGAACAGCTTTGTAGGGAGTGTTGACCTGGAGATGTTTGAGGGACATCATAGTCGTAAATACCACTCAGGACGTTGGAAGTAAGAGTGGTGCTCAAGACATGGTCTGGGACACAGATAAACTAAAGGGCATCAGTGCTATGGGATTAGGTGGAGAATGTAGGGAAGAAAAGAGTCCTAAGGGAGCCCAGCCCGGAAAGAGAAGACAGGGTAGTAAGTGAGGAGAGCAAGGGGTTGGGGATGGCGAAACAGGAACGCCAAGAAGGTGGGAGGCCCCGCTGTGTCGACCTCTGACCCAGGCCAAGCTGTGGGAACAATAGTGGTCTGAACCACATGGCCACATGGAGTCCGTCAGCAACTGTAACGAGGGTGACACGAGGGGACGCTGCCAAGAGGCTGCAGCATCTGTGGGAGGGGCGCACAGACACCTCTTTGCAGAACGTTGACTGAGCAGGGCAGAGAAGGGGGTGGGTGGTGGGGTTGGGTCAAAAGTCGAGACCCAGGTAAAGGTACAGCAAGGGACACAGTTTTGGAAGGGGGACAGTGGGGTCACATATGTTCTAATGGCACCTGCAGTGTGTCTGGTGGCAGCCAGATGAGTCATGAGGCAAAACTGAGAACTGAAGGGGAGTGGATGATGGTGGGGGGAGATAGAAGCCATGGAGTTATCACCAAGGAATCTGGGGAGCCCGGTCACATTGAAGGTGTATTTGTGATTCAGTGGTGGAGAAGGCAGATGGGGGAGGACAGCAGGCATTCCAAGCCCCATCCCGTTAGGGGCTTAGATTTGAGAACAGCTGAGATGTGATGCTGAGCTTGGCTTTTATTGATATATACTATGTCATGCAAAATTGGAACCACCTAGAAATCAAGGTCGGAGCAGATAGACAGCCAGAATGTGGAGGAAGGGTGAGTCCAGGACTGGGTGTGAGGGGAGGGGAAGGCCGTGAGTGGGCCTGGCAGTGACAGCATGCCTTCAGTGTTCCGTAGGATGTGACTGGGGCAGGGGAACTTAGGCATGGGGTGGGGAGACAGTGTGCTCAGCAGCCCCTGAGCAATGAAGCCTCCCTTCTGAGAGGAGGCAGCTGAGGATGGAGAGAGACCTGTGCACTCTTTCCAGAAAACATGCTGGAACAGAGAATATTGCAGGCCCAGGGGAACGTGGATGGTGGGTCATCATTCTTTCCAGGTAACAGCCAACTCCCAGCTTCTCCTACTCCCCTATCAGCTAGGAAAAGTCAGTGTACACCCTGCCCAGGGGAACTGTTGGCAGTGGAGGCTCAAGAACACGTGCCTCACCCGACACTCTACAGAGACTGCTAAGAACTAGAGACCCCCTTGCTGTCCCTGAGACATCTTGGCAAAGGTGGGAAGCTGCCTACCTGTACAATACAAGGCCAAGTGCAAACAACTTGCACCCCAGACAGCATGGACTCCTGAGCCATGCATTCAAATGCAGCTCTACAGCTGTGTGAATTAGCCCAATTACTTAACCTCTCTGTGCCTCCATGTCTTAATGTTCCAAATGGAGACCATAGCAGGAGCTACTGTGAGGATGGAATGAGTCCATGTGTGTAGCACGTGGTAAATGATTGATGCACCAAAGTTTCCCCAGACCAGTTTTGCAAGGGCCTCAAAGAATGGGTGATGTCTTAGAACCAGGTAAGGGAACGAGGAGGGGGCCCATTGGCCTTTGACTAGTTTAGAGAACCCTCAGCTGCCTTAGGATAATTCTCTAAGGCTTAAATAGAATGATAGATAAACAAAATTAAAATACATAAGATCAATAAACACAAGCTCTGGTTCAGCGCCTGTCGCTCAGCAGCTAGGGCACCAGTCACATACGCTGGAGCTGGAAGGTTTGAACCCGGCCTGGGTGTGCCAAACGACAATGACAACTACAACCAAAAAGTAGCCAAGGCTTGGCGCCTATAGTTCAACCGGCTAAGGC